TTCCGCTACAAGAGAACTTTGGTTAGGTGTTTCACTAGCAGAGCGAAAATGATCTGTTCAGTGGATACTTTAAGTCAGGAGATGGAATTTATCATTAGCTTACTGACCGAAATCGGCTAACCTAGCGCGTTTATAAATGTAAAAGAGACTTTTATCGCTTGAAAGAAGCCTCTGTATTTAAACTACAATTCAACGGAGATTTGACTAGCGATACTCTGCAGGACAAATTAACGAAAGTAATTAGTAGAACATCCTACGCAACCATACTTGCGTTGACCTCCTATGTCTACTCAAATGAAGGATAAGTTACCTAAACTGATTCCTCTATGTGCATGTACAAATTCAGCTGTTCCTGCGGAGGTAGCTATATTGGACGTACTACCAGGTAACTTAACCAACGAATGAGTGATCACCTCCCAGCATGGTTTATGAAGGGCCAGATAAAAACGATACTCAGTTCCATCTTAGCACATCTGGTTGATAATGGTCATATTGTAACTAAATCTGCATCTTTTGGAGTGACCTATCGTATACCTCCACCATTCCCCAAAGGAGTTCGATCCCGTCTCCTACACATAGCAAAGCCATGGGAATCCGTACATTCAACCCCAATTTATATGTTCAGAAGAAAATCGTGACACTCCTGTCTCTTAACGAATGTTTAAAGAAATTTTTTTAGATTTTATTTTGTTACTATTAGAATTATTTTCACATCCTGTATTTATTTGTAATTTTTGCCTCTTCCCGTTTACATTCTTCACCATCTAATTATGTACACACTTTTTATTACGTAATGGTTTCAATGTTTTCAATGAGCATTTTAAGTCTATTTATCCACGTTTGACCTACTGTCGTATTTTATTTTTCTTACTACTCTCAGTACACCTGTCTTCCTACTGCCAACCTGTACTTTTGCCTATTATATGTAGTGACATAATCTATTTCATTTCACTGTGATCAATGACTCAAATTGCCTTGATTGGTTTAACATTTTCATTTAGAAATATTCATGTTTATTAGAGTAAAGCCTGATGACGATCTAATCGAAAACAGTATTGTTCGCTTATATGTGTTGTTCTAATTTTCACAATGAGAATTTTTAATATTCTTAATCTATTTATTAACACAGAAAAAATATTTTATATGTACATAAAGCAAGCAAAGGGTTGTCAGATCTACCATATTAGGTTTTAAAATGCTTCAGGGGTACTCAACTGCAATTTAATCCCTATATTACCGTGGAATCGGAAATCGTAATTACAGAAATAGTGGTATGACCAAAGTCAAAACCACATTAGTGGCGACCTTTTACCCAGCTGATAAAGAAATATATAGTGCATAGACTTGTACATGCTATGACATAAGTTTGTAGAAAATTTGCCAAATAATAATTCGTGTTTTATTTATTCCTAACGATATCTACACAAAAAGTGGTTGTACGGTACTTTATGTTAATAAATTTGATGTGGTTACAAACTTACAAGAAATTTGAGTCTTAGATCTAAGAAAGGGATAGTAACTATTATTTCACATTGTCTCTAAGGCTAGGAAGTAACCATTTTGTACTAAAATCTTTAATTCAGATATACATTGATGAATGATATTTTAATTATCTACAAAATTTCTTAGGTAAACTAGAGGACAAAGCTTCAATAAAAAAGTAATATCAGTCTAAAACCATGTTACTCTATAATCCAGCAAATATAATTCATCTTGAAAAAGTGAGTTAATAGCGAAAGGCTAAAAAAAATATCTAACCTACTAATATATAAATTTTTAGTACAGGATTGTGGAGATTGTCGAATTTCATTAAAATCATGATTCGATCAATGTTTGGCCACCATTAGAACTACAAAAGTACTGAACACCTATCTAATACAAGTATGAGACTAATCGGTAGTGAGCATCCACAAACCACGACGCTATTAATTCAGAACTTAAATAATTCCGCAATACTGTGTGACCATCATCCGTTGTCTTCCGGTTTCCAATGGTGTTTCAACAATGATTAGTTCACGATTTCATTGAAACTCGATGATCTCCACAACCGCTTACTGACATCTATCATGAGCTCATTGTTGACTGGCTTTGCGAGAAAATTTTTGGAATTCTAGTGAGATGTCGTATTCAATGGAGTTCAACCTCTATCTAGTGTGAGGCAGTTACCCACTGAAAACAATCAATGATGGTCGCACAATATCGTGGATTTATTTAAGTTCTAAATTAATATCGATGGATGTCAGCTCAGTGGTTAAGAGGTCAAGCGTTCGAGTGTGATTTCGAAGGTCCTAGGTTCGATTCCCACCTTCAGGGGTTGTGGATACTCACTACCGATAAGTCTCATACTAGGACAAAACGAGCATTCAGTAATTTTTAATTTCTGTTGGTAGTCTGATGTTGGTATGTCCAAAATTTTAATGATTATCTATGAATTTTTGCATTTTCAGTGTTTCAGTTCTTCCTTTCATGACAATTCAGAAGACAAGTAAGATTTCTAGGCAGTCAGATACCTTTTCTCATCAACTAACAAAAACAAACCATTCATAGTATTACATATCATTGCGGTTACACTGATAAAAATTTAAACATATGCACCAATCCACAAAATCGACTAAATTAATTAGATTTTTTAACATAATGACAAAAGTTTCATTAAGAAACGTGAAGAAATTATAACTGATGGCATATATTTAGCTTTATCTTTTAAATTAGTTTTATGAGAAAAAAAAGTTGCTACCCTGACTTTTTAAAATATTCTAAGTATTGCCTTCAAATGAAACGATGACTTTCAGTTTGTTATTTTTTAAGACACCATGCTGGTATATGAGACCAAGTAGATATTGAAATCTTTTAGTGTAAACTATGAAAATAGATGTTTTATTGTTTTCAGTTTTGTTTAAACGATATCTGTCAAGATCTTGAAGTAAAATTTCTTAATCTTTAAAAGATTGCACCTACCAGTAGTCGCTTACCATGACTACTTAGCTATTCTTTTATTACGTCAGTTTTCTAACACGCTTGGTGATTTGGCTTCATTGGCATATCTTTCTTTTTCAATTCATAATTTTCTTTTTACTTAACTGAGCTTAATTTATGTCCATAATAATAATCACAGGCGTCTGTTAATTTGTGTTTATCTATTTATTCTTTTCAACATTATTCTTGTAATTACATGTAAGCGTTAAACTTAATTTCCAACCTACTTAAATTTTATAAGTAGATTAAATTTATTAACAAATTTGATTGCAACCAATTTGCTTTGTGGTTCTGATTTTCATGTGAAGTAGAAATATCAAATAGATCCTGTCAAAGTTGAAGTTATTGAACAATGTAATAACCCTCACAATATTCAAACATACATAGTTGTACCTTGGAATTACAGTCGTGGTATATTGGTTTTCAGTCAAGAAGCATACATTTATAATGTAATGTATTCAGTATAATGTCACTGTTCTTTTGCTATTCTATACGTATGATACTTCACATAGTGAGATTCTTATGATATTCCTACTGATTTCAATGTTTAAACACCTTAGTTTGTAACATACTACAGACAACTTGATCCATTTATTTTGATGTTACAATGAGTTGAGAAAATTTTCTACATCGGTGGAGACGTCTATATCTTATTCATCATAAGTTATCGATCGGGTTTATTGAAAATAATACTTTGTTAAGTGCACAATTAAGAAACTAATATGTGTCGCGAAACTGAAGTTACTCATTCATAAAACATTTCATATCACTTATTCTTTTAAATCAGTAATATATTCTTCATTGGCTACTTATATCGATCAAAAGTGAATACATCTTTTAATCTCGTTGATAAATGTTCACTGGATTGGTAGCGTATAATAATAACAATCAGTTTACCAAATACTCATTTAACCATAAAGATTTTGAATACATTCATTAACTTACTTTTATTCCATGCTAGAAATCAAAGGATTAACTTTTATATTAATTATTTCCCAAAATATAAACATGAAATTAAATCGATAACTTGCTTTGATCTGGATATGGTCGAATTTTTGAAATGCGTTTTAAAATAAAACAAATCACTACTCACCACATCGTTTAATTGCATAAGAGGAAAGAAGTGAGAAGACGTAATAACAGCATAATACCTGCACTGTATTTGTAGAACCGATATATAAATCATGAATTTAGTGACTGCTTTTTAACTGTCAACTTTTGAAACTTAAATTAAAGTTGCGTAAAATACGTTGTTTATAAATACTGAGTTGAGTTCAAGCAAACTTTTGGAATTATTACTCATTATCTCAATATACAGGTAGATTTATTGTCAACATTTCTCATCAAAATATTTAATACGTAATACCAGGAATCAAGCCGAAGAAAAGTGTGATTTTTCAATAAATCATCAATAAATAGATGACAACTGTGACACTCTTTCAACAATTAAATCAACACCTATCATTGCATACCCTAATCCAAAGTATTCACAAATAAAATTGTGAAATAAGTAACCAATGAAATAATTGACTTCCTCTCAAACTTTCTTATCGAACTTATAAAATGTCTTTTATAGTTACCTGATGTGGGTTTTGGTTAAGTAAAGTAGACCAGTAAATTGTATTCTTTTTCACCCTCTTTTCATATTGATAATATAAGTAAATCTTAAAATCGTCCGGCAATTCGACCAGCGATTATAGCGGGGGGTTTTCCCTGAGGAAGCTAACTTGCAGATATCATGAAAGTAAAATAGCGAAAGATTCTTTGACACGTTGAAAAAATGGGTCTCAAAAGCAGCCAAGGAAAAAATGTCATTGCTGTTTGACACAAACTGAAAACTTCGTACATTATTTATAAAACGAATTGAAAAACATCTTAATGATACAACATAGTACACCATTTCATACTTTGTTTAGACCTTAGAAAATGAAAAGAATCAGTTGGAATATACATATAAGTAGTGTATTATAGTAAATAAATATATGGATTGAATATACAATTAAAAAGAAATCTTTCAGTTCAAATCAACCATATTTAAATAGTAAAACCAAAAAATCTTCAACACGTAACAGAATACAATGTGATGCTTCAAATGCCACAGAACTATGAAGAGAGAAAATTACATTGTTGATTAAAACTTTACGAGAACTAACTTAACAACTTACCAATCAAAATGTTTTCCAACAACACAATGCCAATGTGTACGATGATGCGAGTCAAAGTAAGATTTGACGAAAGATGCAATCTCACGTTCTTCTGTGAAACGATTCATTGCTTTTTTCAATATCTTTATTGCATCTTTTTTCAAATCATCACGCATAAAACATCTAACAACCGATATCTCCGATCGTTTGACACTAGACATTAGAAATTGGTAAACAAAGTTAACAGTGATTATTCATAGAACTCACGTATATATATTCATTATATAAATATAATACCGTCAGGTCAGTATAGTTAACAAACCAGAAACAGTCCAATTAAGAAAATATTAGTAGATCAATAATTCTCAGCTACTGTTTCTGTAAAGTGAGAAATGTTCAAGTTTCTAAAGCATACTTTTAGGTCAAGTGAATTCCTTTAAACAATCTACACAATAATAATCTCTTTTGTTATCTCTTCTGTTAAAGTATGTTTTAGTTTGATAAAAAAACATTAATTAATCATAATTTACTATTACAATATTAATTCATAAATTTATTTCATTTTACATAATCAATTTTAGACTATAAGATTTGTGATAAAATCTCAACGAGTACACAAAATTTCACCTGAACTCAGAGTTCTTTGAAGGCAAGATACTTTTTCCACGTTTCGATTGTATCAGTTAGTCATGTAAATGAAACTACTTGGTATTGGTTTAATCACTTATTAAACTGTAGGCCTGAATAAACTTCGTTAAAATAACTGGTCAAAACAGGCTCACATATTCTAGTATATTTAAGGATTATTTATTAAATCACCCAAATGAAATCCATATGCATCTCATGTCCAGTTAGATAATACTAAACTTTTCAATATTATTGGATTACTTTTCACTTTTTCGAGTGAAAACAATACAAGTCCCACCGCTCCATGACTGAAAGCTACATAAAACTATCAGTGCTTGATGCTGACTTACCACTAAGTGTGACTATCTTGATCCTATGTCAGGTCACTTACGATCTGAATAGCGAAGTGATAAATACTCTGACTTTACCACTGTACTTTCTTGGATCAAATCTCACAGAACCAATTATATTCAATAGATTCTAAATAGGTTTTGATAACAGATTACAAATAATGCAAGTCTTATAGCCTGTCATTCGCCTCTTTGTATAAAAGTTTAAGAAGGTGATATGACTTAGTTCTAAAGTTTTTAAACGAAATTCCGTTTAAAAGATACTACTAACAGATAAATTGTCACAAACATTCAATGTTCAAACATTTTATGATAGATTTAGATTGTATGATATCAAAAGAACTGAATTTATGAAACTATCTAATAAACTACTGGGCCACCATAAAATATATTTGTTCAACACAAACTGTCTGTTAATAATATAACAATAAACTGTTACTGAAATTTTATTCGAATACGTTTTTCTGCGAATTAATCCATTGATCAACATCGTCAAACATAATAACAAGAATTCCACTACTCAACTATAAAGATGTTTAGTTAGGTTCAATAAAATAGGACGAGTTTCTTGAACTGGTTAATATGTTGCTATATTAACAACTTTCGGCCAACTTTAGTTAACTAAGAATGGTTCCTCTATGGAAATCCAACTTGTTCTGGGAAAGAAATAATATTTTAACCAACCGCCATTTTGTTAAAGCCTACAATAATGAAAAAAATTCAAAATTTGTTTATATCTGTTAGGATTGCATTTGACAGTACTGTGAATACTATGATAAAACACTGCACATCTACTTTGCATTTCGAAACATTTCTGCGTCTTCTTGGACAGTTTATCTTCCAATGCCCTGCCCCTCCACAAGCGTAACATTTATCGTTCCTTTTATGATTCACTCGTAATGCTGCAATCTCACGCTTCAACTCCTCAATCTTCTTCTTGACAGTATTTATCTCCCGCTTTCCGCACCCGACCAGAGCTTCTGTTCGTGTCATCAGTTGACGAGTCACTGTCACTTGCGCTGCGTTTACTAGTTTCAGCTGCTGGGACACAGCGGCATGCTCACTCTCGATAAACTGCGTCGCCAACAACTGTGCATCTGACTCCTCATCGATATTCGGCAGCGCACGGCGAAACAATCTGGTAAGCTCCACAGCCAGCACCAGTGGGTCACCATCGACCGACAACCTCGCCAACCGGAACTTCTGCAGCGCTTCCTCCCTGTCCACCTGGCTGTCGAACTCCGTCATCAACCGCTCCGTGACCGTCTCCCATGTCGCCCTCCCGCCAGTACCATCCAAGCTGTCGTATACGGCTTTTGCCCTGCCTCTCAGTGGCGTCTCCAGCACCACCAACTTCGCCTTCGGCTCCTTCACACCCACCAGCTCCACCACGGCCTCAAACCCCTTTAGGAAGCTCCGCACATCTCCATCCTCAAATTCCTTCGGCCACGGAATCTTCATCCTTAGTGCAGGCAGCGACACCAAAAAATAACAGAAGATTTACTAATCATGAAAAAAAATTAAGTGCATGAAAATTTAACAGAAAACCTAATTTTACGCTTTATTCTTAAACTATTAAATTCTTTCTGAAGTTATCCAAAATTTGTTAACGCTTTTGGAAAAAATGAAAAGTACTTAATTTCTACAAATTTTGTTATTGTAAAACACACAAAGTTAGTACTTAGCAAAGAAACCTGGTTAATGATTTATGACTGGATCAATTGTAGCAACAACACCAACAACAAAAAAATCGGATCATATGACAGACAGATTTTCTAATGAGCAAGCACTTTGTTTTGTTAAAAAAAAATCAAAGTTAATACAACAAAACTAAAAAGACTGTGATTAATTCTCTCAACATATATTTGTTAAAAACAAAATTGTGTGATTCAATCAAACACGCTGGTTCCAATCATAATTTTGTACGCATTTTATAATGTTTTCGTTTTAATGAATCACTTGTATACATATTGAAAAGATTACAATTTTTTTTCACTTGATCATTCAAAATTTCATTATAGTTTCATTGACAAAAATGAAAGAATATGAAATGGCCGTAATAAAAAGTGCAATGCCTGAAGCTTTGGAAGAGTTTGCCGCTCAAGTAGCATCCGAAGCAATTGTCATGGATACCGATATGAGTGGTATTGCTCATTTTATCAAAAGAAATTTCGATAGGAAATACAAAACTACATGGCAATGTGTGGTTGGCAAGAATTTTTGTGGGTAAATCATTTTGATGAATACATTTTATTTTAGTATTTAATATTCAAACTATTAGTTAATTTTAATCAAAAATGAAGTAGATCATTTTTAGAAAAAAAACTGTAAGAGGTGAATTTAAACATTTCAACCTTAAGAAACAAACAATCCAAAGTTTCATTACTGTGAAAATGGTTTAAGAAGTTTGATGAGAATTAGTTTTTTTTTCAGTCGGCTTTTATAAGTGGACTACTCTTAAATGAATTTAGTTGTATTGTACAATTTAAATGTAAACTGCTTTAAAATGTTTCATGATTCAATCATACTAACAAAAAATTGCAATAATATGAGCGTTTTAAAAGATAACAGTTAGCTTACTTGTTACTACTATTTCGTCATACTAAAGTTAAGTATTATTCATATTTGCACAAAACGTGGCTTTTCTTATGATTCGACAATCTCGCTCAAATGATTACCGTGCCTAATTTTGCACTCTATTTAGAAATGTGAATGTACCAGAAAATCCATATCTGGTCAAACGAATAAGTTCAGTGTTCAATGATAACTACCATACATGAACGTTTAAACTAGAACCTATGGATTGGCAGACATTTTAGGTTTATTCTATCAGAAAAAGTTTGATGAAATTGCAGAACACCATTTTTTCTTTAAAAAGAAAGCACAAACTATTACAATGAATATTCAGAAAGTTGTTACAAACTTCAAAAATTTAACAAACAACACCAAACGTAAAAACTTCTTTCAATAGTCCATCAATGTTTGTAACGATACCCAATACATTTCAACTATTTCACACGAAGTATTTACAAAAAAAATGCGATTTTGCTACGTAATTAACCGTTGTTCTTAATATCTCACATACCAACAGATAAAATATAATCACCGAATTGTATTGGTAAAATAGGAAAACCATATCGTAAGTCTTTAATTTGCAAAATATCAATCCATCATATCGAACTGGACTGTTCCTGTTGCAAACATCAATCCATTGTCTGACATTTCACTGTTCATGCGTTTCATACAAATCTCATTGTGTTCCCGCTCTTCCTTTCTTGATCTTTCCCCATCTTCTGCTGCCAGACATTACGTTTTTACTCGCGTCATATACTACTTATAAGTAGCGCGCACCACATTATTAATCACACTATTTGTTTACAATATTTAAAACATTATAGATATTTATCAAGAAGGGAACGATGTGATCAATGACTTAAAATGCATCAACAACATGATTAATCTTGAAATGATAAATTTTCTCGGCATGTTTTATTAGATCTAACGTGTTATTTCTAATTTCTCTTCTTTTTCAATAGGTCTTTCACTCATGAACCAGATGATTTTATTCACTTTAAGCTAGAAGATCTGACATTTTTGGTCTTTCGAACAACTAAATCAAAACAATGAGTATTTCAATCCAAGCCCGGTGCTACTAAATGAGCCGTTTCAATTCCTGATACTGATTTCAGACATTTGTAATTTCTGATATGCTATTACTTTAAAAAAATTATGACTATTGTGCAAAATAATTCTTGAAAATTTTTTTTAAAATAAAAATTAACCGAACTATGAATAGTTTTCCCATGGATTTCTCTATTAAAACGTTACTTTATTTTGAGTGTTTAGATCGAAAATTTGTCATAGACTTATCTAGGTTAATATAAAATTGTCACTACTGTTGGACTTTTTTTAAAAGTTGGTTTGGATTTCCTGCAAAATGCATTTATACTTTGTTGATAAATATTTACATGTAAGTAAGAAGTGTTTAAATGTTCTCATACCTAACACATCTAATTCCCCTAGATTCCAGGTACATTCAATGTGCTTCACAGTAGTTTCTAAAGTTAATTATGTAATCAGCCATTTTTTGTCTGGGGCCTAATTTTATTTTTATAAACAAACTTTGGTTTCGATTGCACATTCAGTGACAGATTATTTTGAAAAGATTTTTTACGATACTTTAACAACATGGTAGAAGAAGCCCTTATAATACTAATTTCCTCTGTACACATAATTCTGCTTTCTTCAAATGTTTAATAAGTGTTTTGGCAATGTCAAACAGACGAAAGCTAACTGCTTTTGGAATCTTTCTACATATTTTTAAGATGACTTTGAATACAGAATCCATTTCAATCGAAATGACCTGTGTACGCAAAGTGTTATTATTCAGCTGTTTCTGCATCTTTAATGCTTAGGCGGATAATGTTTACCAAATGTTTTCGATATAATACAAGCATAAAATGACCTATACACGTAGCTACATATAAACAAATAAATAGATAAACACGTTAATTTATCCTAAAGATTATTTTTAAACATTCATCGGCTCTAGAAAACTAGTCCTAAAGTTGCTGTGGAAAGTGGTTTATTGAGACGATCAGAAATTCGCCTATTAAGCATGTTTAGAGCTAAACCGCTTTTGGAATTACTGCTCACATAAATGATTTTCTTTCATTCGAAAATATTAGTTCTTAGGTTTTATGTACTCATCAACAAACCTCAATGGATACTCATTTTTGATAAGTATTTCCCTAAGTAGATTTTAATTCGTTATCTATGACTGTAAATGTTGCTAAACTGCTTTTGTGTCATTTAAAGCTTAATTTTCTATCTTTATACATCAAGATTCAGTTGGAAATTTATATGCTTTCCAATCTTATCAAATCAATTCTAATTTAATAACATCCATTCAATGAATTACTAGTTGTGATCAGTAACTAACATCATGATAATCAGGCATTTTGTTGTGTTCTTTCCTTAAAGCTTCTTGTATAATTATTGGCTTATCACGATACATATGCATTTTTATAAACCCGAAATTGACTCATCTGGTAAAAAAAATTGTAAAACGAATTTGTTAACTTCAAGCTTGCATACTTTTTCATATATATATATATATATATACATATTTAACTCAATAACCTCGAACAGTTTGATATTACTTGCAAATATTATTCAATCACGTGATCCATATAACACATAACACAATTTTGGCAAATTTCAGGACTGAATAAATTAGTTTATTGAGAAATGCAAATGAGAGAGAATAAAAATAATTCATACACAGTGATTTATTTTATTGTAATGAATGATAAATTGTTAAATATTGATTTACGAACAAGAACTTATAGTTTTTACATAACTTCAGTATTGATCTCAGATTTTACCTTCATGTGTACTGTAAACATATGTCTGCAAACGAAAGTATAATTCGTGCATTTTATTCATTTTAAAAAATTGGCAAATATTTTGCTGTGACATGGGCACTCACTGATATCACGCGATAAAACAAACAATCAGAATATTGATTTCTGTGACCTTATCATGAGTTCATCACTCACTAACCAGCACTTACAGCTTCGAATCACTGCTGAGTTCTTACTAGCCCTCTAATTTGTAAATTTTCTCCTCGACCTGCTTGTTGTGTCCAGAATACAGCAGTCAGCCTTCATTATTCGAAAAATATATTTTAAGGATATGTAGTTTATATTTGGACATCCTCGATCGCATCACACCATAAAATGCAAAATATGAATGTAAGTAGTGAAGACTATGAACGATAAACTAGCAACAGAATAAGATTAGTGATTCATACAATATCAGTTAATGCGTTTGTGATGAAAAGAATATGTATATATTTCCTTGTTACTTAATAGTCATTCACTAGGAATATATAAAAGGATAACCCATAAATTAATCCTGATAATAACCATTCCTTTAGTCGTCGTTGATTATCACACATCTGATTGCAATGAGGAACTTTATTTGGAAAACACAGGCATTAATTACTGTGCACTGTGTGAAAAGATGATCATTGATGAACAGCATAGAGTGACACTTGAACTGTCAACAAATTAAGGCCATCTTAATCTTTTGTACTTATACGGTGAGAAAAAATCTTGTGCATTTTTTGTGGCATAACAGAATTCACACATATATTATTTGACTAACAATCTCAATAAATAGTTTTTTTATCTACTTATTTTTTTTGAAACCATGAATCGATCAGTGTTAGACCACCACCTGGAAGCACTGGACGGCCATTTCGTCCTGGTATGGGACTCATCAGTGACAGTGCGCATCCACGACACTTGCACCTCGCAGGATTCGAACCCGGGGCCCTCGGTATTGTGCGCGAACGCCTAACTATTGGACCACTAGGTCGGCATCCACTGGTGTTAATGTCCAACTCTGATTGATCTAGGGATTTTGCGCGACCTCACTTATCATCGGTAGTTACTGCCTGTATGTATTTTTTCTGGTCTTTTTGCAATATTTCTTCACGTATGTGACATAGAGTCTATGGAAAATATGAATATAATTGGGCGTAATTGGGTCCAAACAAAACTTGATTTTAGACTATTTATTTTGAAAACTTGTTTCAAGACTACGTTTTGGTGAGTAAACAGATCGTAATCGCCCTAGTCTTCGACATCCTTACTTTACCTCTTATCCGTTCCAGTCATTACATATACGCTACATACAGTAACACAGTGGAGATATGTACAGAATACCAATACATAATACCAATATTTGAAGATATCCTGTTTAACTATTCAAAATAAATTAAATGCAACCGTTAACTTCAAGCCAATTCATATTTTGTTTTGGTAATTTGATTTGACCGGAATGTCAAGTATTGCAGTTACTATTAATATGATAAAGTTAACAGCATTTTATTTCTATCAATGTAATTTTATTAAATGAGAGGATCATATCACTAAGACGTAAACTAGTGAGTAACTCAAAAAGCAAATCTAATTCAAAAGCAATACAATATCCAGTAATGAAACATTGAATTTATTATTCTAGTATATTTGAATTATAGATATCAGTGTTAATAAGAAATAGCTTCGAGGCAATCAGTTCAGGGTGAATACATGCTAACAGAGATTGATCAGCCATTGCTTTTAATGTGATTCATTCAAACTGTTAAACTTAAAAACAATATTTTTGTTCATTTCCCAATTCTCTGATATGATCATGTGAAGTTCATTTCAATTCTTAACAAGCAGGTTATTATTTACTAAAGAATCTTTAATTATTTGGAAGCCAAAATTGACATATAATTTTGACAGAAGCTTTTACTGATAATTATCTCTGCTTTTTCATTGCTTGAATATACAAGTCCTGACTTCTGGATGATACACCTTAAAATACCATAAGTAACATCAGTTTCTTCAACATAGAAGATAAGACCAAAGCAACATCGGAGAACAATTAGAAAGGGATCAAGGGGGCAATCACTTCAACATGTCATGAAGTTCTGGGTCACAAAGAGTACCATCACAAGGATCGGATCTCTGTTGATACTCTTGCAAAAATTGAAGAAAGGAGGAACAAGAAGGCAGAAATCAATGTCAGCCGACCAAGAGCAGAGAAAGTTATCGCACATGCTGCATACACAGAAGCAAACATGGAAGTTAAGAAGGGCATCAGAGCTGACAAACGAAAATATGTGGAAGATCTAGCAGTGATGGCGGAAATGGCTGCAAGAGAAGGAAACTTGAGACAGTTGTACGAAACAACAAGGAAGCTCGCCGGAAACCATCGTAAACCAGAACGACCAGTGAAAAGCAAGGAAGGGAAAGTAATCAGCAACACTGAAGAACGGCAAAACAGGTAGGTAGAGAGAGCACTTTAAGGAACTCTTGAATCGACCAGCTCCACCGAATCCACCAAACATCGAAGCAGCATTTACGGACCTTCCAATCAAGGCTGGTACACCTACAGTTGAAGAGATCAGCATGATCATCAAACAAATCGAGAGCGGCAAATCAGCAGGACCAGAAAACATTCCAACAGAGGCAATGAAAGCATATTTGGAAGCACCTGCCAAAATTTTTCACACTCTCTTCAACAAGATTCGGGATGACGAACCAGTAACATCAGACTGGAAAGAAGGATATCTGATCAAAATACCAACGAAAGGCGATCTCAGCAAGTGTGAGAACTACACAGAAGTCACTCTTCTTTCAATACCAGGCAAAGTTTTCAACAGGGTATTGTTAAACAGAATGAAGGACTTCGTAGACGCCTAACTTCGAGATCAACAGGCTGAATTTGGTAAGAAGCGATCGTCTGTTGACCAAATTGCAACATTAGGGATCATTGTGCAACAGTCATTTGAATGCAAATCACCACTCTACATCAACTTCATCGACTACGAGAAAGCATTCGATAGCGTGGATAGGAAAACACTGTAGAGGCTTCTTCAACACTACGGCATACCTGAGAAGATAGTTAACATCATACGGAATTCTTTTGATGGATTCAACTGCAAAATCGTACTCGAAGGACAGCTAACATACTCTTTCGAGGTGAACACCGGTATCAAGCAAGGTTGCTTACTCTCACCCTTTCACTTTCTCCTGGTAATCGATTGGATTATGAAAACGTCAACATCTGGAGGGAAACACGGTATCAACTGGACAGTTAGGACGCAGCTGGACGATCTGGACTTCCCAGATGGCCTGGCTCTCCTAAATCACACAACAACAAATTCAGGAGAAGACGGAAAGTGTAACAGCAGTAGGTCTAAACATACACACGGGGAAAAACAAGATCCTCCGATACAACACAGCATGCGTCAATCAAATCATACTTGATAGAGATGCCTTGGAGAACGTTAACACTTTTACATATCTTGGCAGCATCAACGACAATCAAGGTGGATCCAATCCAGATGTGAGGGCGCGGATCGGCAAAGCAAGGGCTACATTTCTACAGTTGAAAAATAGCTGGAACCCCAAAAAACTTTCAACCAGAACCAAAATCAGGTTTTTCAATACAAATATCAAGACAGTTTTACTGTATGGGGCAGAAACTTGGAGAACTATGAAAGGCATCATCCAGAAGATACAAGTATTTATGAATAGTTGTCTTCGCAAAATACTTCGGATTCGTTGGCCAGACACCATTAGCAACAACGTACTGTGGGAGAGAACAAACCAGATTCCAGTGGAGGAGGAAATCAGGAAGAAGCGGTAGAAGTGGATAGGACACACACTACGAAAAGCACCTAACTGAGTCACAAGACAAGCCCTCACATGGAACCCTCAAGGCAAAAGGAAAAGAGGAAGGCCAAGGAATACATTACGCCGAGAAATAGAGAAAGATATGAGAGGAATGAACAAACATTGGACAGAACTTGAAAGGGAAGCCCAGGACAGAGTTGGTTGGAGAAAACTGGTGAGCGGCCTATGCTCCATTTGGGGTAACAGGCGTAGGTAAGTAAGTAAGTAAGTAATAAAGTTTCCATTGTAACTAAATTTATCACTAATACTATAATGCATTAGGTTCTATTCTATACACAAAATATACTTCGTAAAAAAAAATTTAATGAGAATAAGCTTTTACTTATAACAGTATAACAGGTGACAATATTATCACTACTTACAAGATTATAAATGAAGCCTTTCGAAATCAATACAACACAGATTTTGAAACTACAAGAATAAAGTATTAAACAGTGAAGTTATAACAAAAGAAGTATAGATGACCTTTGGTAAGTTATTTAAATCATGAAGAACTATTTCTCTGTACAGTTAAAGACGGATAGCTAATCAATAGCGTCTTTTCTGAGCTACACATTGTTTTCAATTAGTCAATAATATATGGCCTTATAAATCTCTAATTTCTTATGAAGTGCATATATATTCACTTATGGTTAATTTTTGTGCTTAATTTTTCATGATGAGTGGAATAAAACAAACAGATATGTTAGTAGTAAAATGTAACATACAAGATGAAATGCAAGGTTATGTGAAAACGCTTGTACAAAAAGCTCTAAATCGATATCAAGATGAAAGAGAACTTGCTACTTTCATCAAGATCAGATTTGATTCACATTATCAAAAATACTGGCAGTGTATTGTTGGAAAACACTTTGATTGGTAAGTTAATGAAATAGTTTAATTGTCTTTCTTTACAGTTCTTTAGAATTCGAACAAGCACAATACATTCTTTTACGCGCAAAGGACATATTTGTTCTACTGTTCAGATATAATTGAATCAAATGCTTAAAAATGAAGCCCATTCAATATTCGGATCAATGAAACTTAATTTGTCAGATGTCACAATCAGTATACATTGAAAATTTTCAAATTACTCAGAGTTAAAACTTTATATTTTATCTGTCACTTGTCATTTATCACCTTCGTTGGAAATTTCTACTCTGTATATTATTTGAAAAATATATCTTACAATATGTTCGGCTTCCGTTATTTTCCTTATTTTTGCTAAGATATCAATAGTATACAAAATTAGGTAAAGAACATTATATTTTTGACTGCATTTCACCTCTGGGTAGTTTTAATGTCTGTATGGTTTGATTCAGGGAAACTCTCTCATTCAATATGCGGATTAATAGTTGTTTTTCCTAATTAAATTCATTCTGCTTTTACGAAAGTACATATGTGATTCCAAAGAATTTAAAATGTTTTACGAGCATATATCTGTACCGTTTGGCAGAACGATGTCTGTGCCAAACTAATTAATGATGAATAATTAAGAATAGTTAAACTTGTCAAATTTTTTACTGATTCAATGTAGTGTCCGCAAAATTGGTTGAATAAATAATTTACAATTTTACAAGAAAAACGAAATAAAAATTTGCCTACTTATAAATTATTTAGTAGTTAAATGTTACATATAAAATTAGGTTGTACTTTGTCAGAGAATGTTTCAGCAAATCAAATTTCTTTAACTATAATTTCGAAATAAAAAATGTAGAATTCTATTACCAGTTAAAATGGTAAGTAGTATGTTTTTAAATGTATAAATTTTGTTGTGAATAAAAAATATCAATGAAGCAGTTACCAACCATAATATTTATTAAGAATAGATACTGCATAAACAGTGGAAAATTACAGTTCTCTCTGTCGAATAAGTAAGACAGGATCACATGATAATGACAATAAAAAAGTTATGAACTTTAGTAGAACACATTCATATTTATCAAAATAAAGTTCAGGGTATTTTAAAGTAATATAAAAACGGAAGAAGGCAAAGGCAAAAGCGGGAAATGATATATGGAAGCATAATTTTAATACCGTGTAAATAGTGAAACAAATTGCTTTCGTATAAAAAATCCTTTTTTGCGCTTTTTGCTGTGTACATGTCTTTTATTCCTCACATGTTCGTCTTTGCAACTCGTCCGAGAAGTTGTGATGTCCAAATGTTTAGTGATTGGTAAAGTCGTTTGATTGTGATCAGAGTTATCTTTAGTAATCTGGACAAATTTCCTCGTCAAATGTCCTACTCATTAGGCCATATTTTCACCCTGCAATTAGTATCGTTGAAACCATGTATCGATTAATGTTAGATCATGATTAGAAGCCTAGAAGCACTAGAACGCCATATCGTCCAAGTATGGGACTCATCAGTAATGCGCATCTAAAACTCTCGCTACCCATAGGATTCGAACCCAGGACCTACAGTCTTCTGCACCAACCGTTAAGCTATGGACGAATGAGTCGGCATCCAACGGTGTCAACGTCTAACGTCAACCAGTCCGCGGTCTCGAGCAACCTCATCCACTGTCCTCGGTAAACATTGCTTCACTCTCGAACAAGGTTGACTCCACTGGTCAGGGCCGTAAATGTAGATTTTGAATAAATGACGTTGTTGAACTATGGCAGTTTTTGAATAGTTGTTTTTTTTATTATCAACTTGGAAATTGTTTTAAGGGTCAGCCACCCAAAAGTATCTAACCATATTTGTTACTCTGAAATGAACTAACTTTTGAATTCGGAACTTAGCTTCATCTGTCTAATTCTTATTGTCTGTTAAAATCCTTTTCTAAAGAACTTTGATTACGCTTTATCAGATATTAATTTTAATGTTATTCTAACATGGAACACATTCAAAATTAAATTAAACATTATCTGAGCTTCGTAATTTCAAAACTAACTATTATTTTCAAAGGTACTACAATTTTAAAAATCTGAAACATGAACTTAAAACTGTAAGGTCAAATGATTTACTATTTGACATACCGAGTATGAGGGTATGTCAGCCAACATGATATTATAAATCAAAATATTTTTGGCATGAACCCACACATAACCACATTGAAATGTTAATCCATATTTCAGCGTCTAAATTGCTACTATCATGCAAAGAAATCACAAAAATGAAACAGCAATAACCAACATGCAATTTTATTCATAATATATGAACTTTAACAGAATTTATTTAAGATAAATTTGATGAACTACTGCGTCAATCAATGATAAAGAAAGCAATAACAATAGCTTAATGTTATAAGAAAAGTTCAGCAATGAATAAATATTCACGTCACTGAGATTGTAGAAAGCGGAAAATCTCCTGACTAAATTAAAGTTAATACTGTATTAGGATCTAGTTGGTGAAGCACAAAATTGCATTTTTTTTTGGAAGTTGTTATAATAAATCATAATAAACATTATGTTAAAAATAAGTTTATCGTGTAATTTTCAATAATATCCATTGCATAGATTAGTACATTTTAATGCTTAAAAAACATAAGTGTTATCTGTATAATAATTTTTTTTAATTGCGAAATAATAGTAGCATTGTATGGGAATAGTTTATACCAAAGTAATTTCAGATCTCTGTCCTTAAAAATATATTACTCATAATTTGACCTTAGTTGTAGATAAGTAAGATGTAGGTGAGGATTTATTAGTATTTTTAAAGTACACAGTGAGATTCAGCTTAAAATGATTATTTTAAAATGTTATGTAATACTTTCTTAAATGAAAAAGTTTGTCTATTAGATGCTGGTGACTTCATGAGTGAATTCGTTTGCAATAGTTTGTACCGGGATAAAATAAATATCCTCTAGTTAACCACTTTGCCGCACACAGACACACACATTCCAACAATCTACATAATGTAAGAACTGCTAACATCTGTTGACGAGAAATATCTTGGTGAAAAAGTAATATCTCATAATTATTCCCTAATAGATTATTTCAAATATGCAATTACAATTTTTGAAAACATGAATCGATCAATCCGAGACCGCCATTAGAAACCTGGAAGCACTGGACGGCCGTTTCGTCCTGGTATGGGACTCATCAGCAGTGCGCATCCACGACTCCTGCACCTTGCAGGATTCGAACCCAGGAGCTTTGGTATTGTGCGCGAACGCCTAACCATCGGACCACTGAGCCAGTATCTAACGGTGTTAATGTTAACGGTTAGAATCCTACGGGGTACAGGATTCGTGGATACGCACTGCTGAAGAGTCCCATACCAGGGCGGAACGGCCGTCCAGTGCTTCCAGGTTTCTAATGGCGGTCTAACATTGATCGATTCATGGTTTCAAAAAATATACAATTAACCTTAAATTGTATAGTTGTGCAAATCAGTTAAATTATAGTTACTACTAATTCCTGGAAATTAATTTCGATTAATTTTCAAAATGTGAATCATTCTATTCTATTCCAACTAATTATTTAAAATTATTCTACTCTCATAGAAGTCCGTAAAAGCTTTCCTGTCGATATCATGTAGGAGATGGTAAACTCCTCACCTATGACAAGCTTTAAACTAGTTCACATTTGTATTTCAGATGATAATGTATGGCTCAATGAAAAGAACACAATTACAGCTCTAATTATTCTTTACAAATCACTCATTTAATACATTGAATGAATTTTATTTTTTTTTTTGTCAGTAAACTAGATTTTCTAAATTATTGCACAAATTAATAGAACCGTTTTAATTTCTTCTCATTCTAATTCATTTTACGCATAGAAAGTGACAGATTCCTGGTTGTCATTAATCCACAGTTGTATGATAATTAGTTTAATTTTTGAAATCTGAAACATTTCACATCATCATTATCATGTGGTTAATATTCCTGCAGTTTAACTATTATTCTCTTAAAACAAAGTGATTAACAATATGGTTGATAATGCACTGATACTTATACATAATGTTCTACATTATTCAATTTTGATTACCCTTGTGATTATCTTCATACATGTCAGATATGATATGATATGATATGTAATATGTGAAGGTTGCAATTAAAATGAAATTCTTTTCATGTGTACTAATGACATAATTAGTAATAATAACCGTGATTACATTTCATTTTAAGATTAGATATTTTCCATGGATACCTATGAACTTATTATAATTTGAATAGACTGATAGTATAAATACAACATGGATTTTATCATTACGAATTAATAATAATACATACATACATATTACTCAAAAACAAGATAGTAATGTCAGAACGAAAGGCTGTAATTAAAAATGCTGATATGGAAAGAACTGTACAAGATGACGCTGTGTATGTAGCATCAGCTGCAATGGATAAATATGACATTGAAAAAGATGTTGCTGCTTACATTAAAAAAGAATTCGATCGTAAATACACTCCGAATTGGCATTGTATAGTTGGAAAACATTTTGGAAGGTAAGCTGAAACGGTTCTACAAGTTTAATTAATTAGTTTAAACATGATTTAAATGTCTGTCTGCTTTTAGTTTGTGCTGAATGAAATAAAATTTTACCCGAATGCATTGATAATACCTGTTAAAATAAAGAGATGAATTCATAAGATAGGAATATAATGATTTTTGATTAGCTCATGAAACAAATAATTCTATTTTGTATAAAATGACTTTAAAAATTCCAGCGGTTACCGCTATATTATCGCAGAACGTGTATCGTGAAGGTTACTCTATTCTTTATCCATTATTATGCTAAAATCTAAAATCAGTAGTTACGTAGTTATATTCATGGTATTTTGATGTGAATCTAACTCATTTGTTTATAAATGAACCGAATAACCATCAGTACAAAAAGCGAAGATTGAATGTTGGATAACATCACGAAATGATGAGGCTGACGTTCCGCTAGTTTCCATTTTCATAGGCAATATTGAAAATGGTACTCACATAAGTATGGAACACTATTGAGCAAATAAGCAAGTAATTGAACAGTCTTAGCTTTAATGTCTCAAAGTTTACAAAAAGTTAAGTAGATGGTTCGCAATCTCAGCTATTAAAATCCCTTGTTTTACATACTGTCATTACCTAGTTGACTAGAATAAATGACGTTAAAGGTGTGTTAATGACGTTGACGGGAACGATAATGAAAGCTTTCATTTTAAACCATGAGGCTCAGAGAACACAACATTTAAAATCCCAATCCTTATGATGCAAATATTCTTTATCGTCTCAAAGTTCACTTCTCATCCTTTCCTGTTTTATATCTCAATGAACAAGTCTGAAAACTTTCTTTCTAATAATAGCAAATTCAAACCTTCTTTTAGCTGTTGAATGATCCATAGTTTGAAAATATTTCTTCCAAAATAAAAACCCATACTTTTCTGTGATTAAAATACTCAGTTTTAAACAATTTAGTCAGATTTCATTTTCAGCTTCTCGGTCCCGTATTATTTTAATTTCTAGATTTGTTCATCCATAGTCGTATACTATTAAACACTAAACAGCGATCATACCTACGTTGAGTTTTGGTTAATTATTTTCCTATTTTACAAACAATGAATGCTTGTTAGATTTATTCAATGTAATATACTAACGTGAACTGATTTTAACTGTCTTCCTGAGATCTATTTAGACTGATTATTATATGACAACATTGTAAATGAAAACAACCATCATCTTAGTCGTAATCAAACTAATTATCGAAACACTAAAAACTTAAAATATTAATTTATCTTTGAGTTTATTCAGCATTTATATTATTTTTGAATAAATCGGGTTTTTATTATTGATTGATGGGTTAGAAAAAAGCTTCATTATAAATGATTAGCTGTAAATAATGATTGTAAATTTAAGCTCTTTTGTCTCGCTCATTATCAATCAAAGTACATTTGAAAAAAAAACCTTAGGTAAACTTGTCTTTTATTCTACCATTTTATGTCTAAACTTGAAAACCATTCTCAGTATGATGATGACAGTTGGTGATTTCTACATAAAGTTCTTCAATTACAAACGTAGCATACTTATGTTAAGAATATATAATTTTGACTTGAAAATATAATTCCATGTTTTTTTTTCCAATAAGAATGCTTCATTTGATTCAGTCAATAAAATCTTAGCTACTTTTATCATCAACATATATATTTGTTGAGCATTCTGTTATCTATCTATCTAATATGGACAGTATATAGATGCTATGAATAAGGTGTACATTATGTCTTTCATGATATAAACTACCTGTTCAGAACTTGATAATTACAACTGTTTTACATAATTAATTAATTTGAATAAATGTTTCTTTGTGAACTCTTATTTTTACGAAAATGTTGTAAAAAGATTTGACTAAGATTAGGGTTCACAATAAAAAAAAGCTGATTTATGTTCAATATACGTAAATTTACTTATACAACAAATTCGTCTGTTCAGATTTAAAGCTTTTTGAAATAAATGACTGCCGTTACTGTTCTTAGACTCTCTTCAATTAGGAAAATAAAATATATTTTGTTTAGTTCATCTAATAGAATGCTTCATTGTAGTTTATCAATATTCATACATATATATTAACTTATGCCTCATGAAAGTAAAAGCATAAATCAAGATAAGCATTTGTATGCTTGAAGAATCTCTACGATTACAATAAATATTACAACCATCTCAAAGTTTTATTTTGTAAATAATAATAAGACATATTGTTTACCGGTGAATAATGATAGAAAAAAAAATCAATCGATTCCATGCTCTAATAATGGTACTGTATACATGTACGCCTATATATACACCTACGCAAATACTTCTAAACTTCTCACATAATATTAGAATAAGTTCGTTCCATTAAGTGGACCTAAAGTTTTATTGATTAGTAGTAGTCCCATTAAGCTATTACACATGTATATGAGAAAACGTATAAGTATACATAGAGAAACGCAAAGATAGATAGCTTCGAGCTTAAACACTCTTGATACATGAGCTAGCACAACCAATCTATACTTGGTAGACATAGTTAACTATGTACTACTAGCAACCAATAAACATAGACCAGTTGAGAAGACACAATTGACACACACACTATCGGTGTTTAAACAATCCATCGTTAAGTGTTTATGTCAGGTGAACTGAAGCCAAGCTACTGAAGTGAAATCTCACTCTGGAAATCCAGTCATATCAAAATGGATTGGATAATAAACCAATGTATATATATAATTGCATTGTATATCTTAGTGCCACAACTGAATAAGCTAAATTAGTCAAAAAACAGTTAAAAACTTTTCAAACAAAAAAACAAAAAAAATATGACTGAAGTGAAAGCTGTAATTAAGAATGCTGATATGAGTCCTGAAGTGCAAGAGGAAGCAGTAAGAGCAGCAGTTCACGGAATAAATACATATAATTTGGAAAAAGATATAGCAGCATATATAAAGAAAGAATTTGATAAAAAATATCAACCTACATGGCATTGCATTGTCGGTCGAAATTTTGGAAGGTTAGTTATCATAGACTTTCTTCTTTCTATTTCACAATAATTATGATTTGTGTATAAGGACTAGATTTTATGACATTTTATTATATTTTAAATAAGTATGGCTCATTAATTCTTATTCATTATTAGACAAGAGATATTCTTTCAATGTGAGAATGCTCACAAATTTTTTACTTACTTAAACTGTATGCATATGCATATTTTTTAAACATTCTATCATTTTTCTCTTTTTTTTGTATCCTAAAAGTTACGTGACCCATGAGACGCAAAACTTCATCTATTTCTATCTAGACGATCGTGCAGTGCTGTTATTTAAATCTGGTTAGAATAAAATCGAAAAAAAGAACAAAGAACAAAAATAACCCATCAAATAGACAACCGAATCAAATGCGGAAATATCATGTTAACTATGCAAGATGAATTTATTATTGCTTTAAAAATATAAATAAATAAATAGTTTCACTATTTATATTATTGTTTGTATTTATTTGCTTATTTTTTTCTTTTCCTTATTAGCTAAATTATACAAAACTATTCATAGTAAATCTTCAAGTTTTCAATTATTTCTTAGGTTATTGCAAGCTGGATAAATTATCTAATGAGGAGCTTTGTTTCTATAAAACATAAAATGTTGGTATATTATTGATGACATTGGACATAACTATGTAAGGTTTCAAGTATCTATATTACTAATAACACTAAGCTGTTAAACCTACTCAAGTATAGCCGGGTTCAAATCAATGACCCATCTAAGATACCGATTTCTTAGGCTGAGTCACTTTCGAAATGATAGATAAGTTCAATAACTACATCAGATACTTTTTATGGTACCGTGCTCTTTGAGTTAAATTTTTTTTTGCTCTAAACCTTCTATCAAAATTCTAGAGAATATAAACAACACCTACTTCATATAACAGTCATGAAGTTATGGAATTCGACAGAATGTACACAGAGCAAAGTGTTCTTGAGAAATAAATGAGATTTCGATTTTTAAAAAAACGGTATTATTTACATGAATAGAATCACTACATCATACACAAAATATTTAGTTGTTCCGACTCTGACTCCAATTTGGATGAACAATTGAATATTCTATCAAATTCCTCTTGTTATATTCATTAGCGAACTTCGATTTTGTGACGGTGATTTTCGTAAGCCAAATATTATTTTGGTTAGATGCACATTTTTCATATATTCATATGAACAGTTAGACAGTGGAATCCGAAACGTAGAAGAGAAGCGAAGCGAAGAAAGCGAATGGGCAAATTCAGCTGATGAGGGATGACTAAGTATTTTCAGCCGAATAAAAATAGGCAAGACATGTGACAAGCGAAGTAAGTGATGCGCATATCCATTTAAATAAAAACAACCAAGTTTATAAATGAAGAATTGACAAAGACCAAAGATGTGTGCTAAAGCACATTACTTAGCCCCTAAAGTAAAAATGTTTATCCAAACGTTTAAATTTTACGAAAGTGTGTTGTTGTACATATTATTATGATAATCTCAACATTGATGTACTGATTACTGCAATAAATCTGTTTCATGTAGATAGTTTGGGATTTAGATTATTTGGGTAGTTTAGATCATGTATGCCTCGATATTTATTGCAAAACGAAATAATGAATACTATCCATCTGTTTCGTAAAGTGATTAATTGTTTCAGATATGTTTCTTAGATAAATCTTAAACCGCTAAAATGAAAGAAGTCTACTGGAATTTCGATAAGGCGATTGAATATGTCGATTTGTGTGAGAGAGAGACTATGCTTGGAAGTATTTTGAGAAGAACTACAGTCATAAAAATGAAAATTGACTGACAAGCAACATCACTGCGATAAATAATGAGTTAAAAAAGCCGCGTCTACGGAAATTCAATTCCAGTTACCTTATATACGAATCATTCTTCTTAGTTAATGCTTACTATATGGAATTTTCGATACAGGTAATCCAGGTTACACAGTACTATTAGAATATGGACAGACAAGCAACCCAAAACGTGATAGAATCGATCGAAAGTGAGTAATTATTCAAGCTGCAATAAAATTAACATCAACTGAGGAGGGAACTCTCAAAGAAGTTGGTGCAGTTGTACTGTAGGGCAGTCTCAATTTGGAAGGAGAGCAAAATATTACTGCAAAATCTGACCGATCATTGAGGAATCTGAGGTGAAATTATCTTGAAGAATTAGTTGTATACAGAAGATCAACCCCTTTGATTGATCAAGACCAAGTTTTACTTATCTCCCTAAAGATCTCTCACCATCGGCCGTAAATGGATGGCTTCACCTGGTAACATGTTTCAAAGTGACAGGTGGTACTATCGCGGACAGCCACCATTTACTGTTACGACAGCCTGAATTTCTTCTACAACCTACTTCCAGGGCGATAACTACAGCGCTCTGAATTAAGCAAGAGGTAAGCAGACATAGTACATTAGCCAGTCAGTTTGATTAACCGCTTAATCACAATTATACCCAACATCAGCGTTACTTACTACGCTATTCCAGCATTCTGTACAGCTGTAAAGTAACAGTTGCAATTTTAGTATTTTTCCGTTGGGTGTAAATAATTACAAGGTTGATTACTTCGCAATATACTCCTCCTTCGATAGGTAGACAGATATTTTGTCAGAATCTCAAATGTAATTACTTGACAGGAGGTATACTGATCATTTTGTATTGATTTGGAGATTTCGGAAAGCAGATTTCCTGCGCCTTTTAGATAGACTGAGTAGATTTTGTAATTTTCTTAGCAATTCTTAATTTTACTAATTCTTCAAAATATAATTTTCAAATTACAAATACAGTTGAGTAGCATATGATCACACAAACGATTATTTGCAAACGTAACGGACAGATAACTGGAATGTATTCACTTCATTTTGTCCGTACTGAAGACGTATACAATGCTCATTGGCAATAGCATTTACGAGTCAAGTGAAAGTTGGAGTAAAAACATGAGTACATGTTGGGCCATTAAAGGTCAAGAGGATAAGGAATACTTACATTTTATTTAATATGAAACATACTAACTATTCATAAACCATAGTCAATAGACTGGACAGGATCACACTCATTGAATGATATTAAAATTCACAATGTTAATGGAAAAGATGCTGATCATCTAACTAAGAATTTCATTGAAGATCTATCACTGAGAATTCTAGGCTCTCAGGTTTGAATGTCATCTGCACATCCAACTTAAGTTAATTTGTTATCTGAATTAACCTTCACATAATGTCTATGTCTATAATATATAACTGTTCATTTCAAAATTTAATGCGTTTTAAAATCATTCAGTTAAGCACAAGAGTTTGCAAGAATTAGCTGATAAAATTGAATTAGATGAGATTTGTTGTATGTTATTGATAAATGTACCTTTACAACACAAACGTTGAACCTGTTAATATCATTCACTGGATACACAATGCTTATTTTCTTATATGTATTAGGTTAACATTTATTTCAAACGATATTGATAAAAAGCATGTTTAATGGATGGAGACAAGCAAACAGACTTTATCTATTTAGTTTATTCAAAGACAAGAAACATTTACTTAACTGAAATAAAGTATTTTACATGGTTTGAATAATAGTGAATTTTTCAAAGTAAGCTATTAACGAAAACTATGTAATTTGAGTTAGCGAATTTGTACTAAATTAAAGTAAATAGTAAATTAATGATTTTATGAAAAGAAGTATTGAATTTGAATTGTTAAACAACCACTGAACAGGTAATCCATTGTGCTTAAATAATATTCCATCTCATTATGCCTTAAGGTTATTTAAATTAGTCAACTTCGTTAAATTTATGAATGAAATCTTTTGTCAGCTAAATGAAATGCAAAGAACAGAAAAATAAATAAACTTGATACTGTAAAGTGATTCTATTGATTTTTGATTCCTAGTCGGAATTCTATTCTCTAATATTAAAGCATCAACAATTTCGATATCAAATCATTTATAACTGATCATATGTTACAAGTTTATAACTTCCTGTCTACAGTCAACGAAATTTCAATCAAAAGTCATAGTTTGATCATGTTTTTTATTAAATATTGACATAAAATCAATAAGTGATGTAATCTGGTTGTTAAAATGCAACCTGCTCAAATAATTTTTACATATTCAAGAGAAATAAAATCGAAAAATATAAACTGACAAATAGATCTGTTACGCTCATCTCTAGGTATGCTTAAACTATTACGAGTTCACCACAGACCAATAACGAGAACAAACAATGAACCAGCGTACAGGTAGGCTACTGCGATCCCTTGACCAAACTGAATCAACAAGAAGTCTTGATATAGTGTAGAAATTGTATTCTACCAACACCCAGCCAGCACACAATCAATCCAAGCACTCAGATTGCGTTTATTTATAGTTTATATAGACGTCCTTGGGACAGTCACAAAAATAGCACACTAAAATGACACAGTAACCAATCACAGCCAAGGATTTTCTTGGTGGGAAATGTAATCTCAAGGTCAAATGGTCGGTCCATGAAATAAATCCAAAATAAAGATATTTATCAAGCGAGTTCTGAGGATCTGACATCCGCAACAAGATCTTTTATAGAACAGAAATGCTACCACAGATATTATGATTGGGATGGTAATCAGTTGACGTCTTTAGTCACGTTGAATTATTTCTGTTCAACCTGCAAACAATTTAGTTAGTATCTCCTAGACTTATGAAGGTCATGAAGGTTGTTGAAATGCCTTATAAACGTTTTAAATTATTGGTACTTTACCTGTCTATTTATTATAGGCAAATACTTTGACTTCTTCATCACTAGGTTGCTTCTACAAACAGTATGTTACAGTTGTATACTTGTTTAGGAAAGCGAAGGTCTACTGAAGTGACGAATACTGTATTTCCGACAAAAAAAACTAACAACTGCTTACGTTCTTCTTATGTCGGTTATCAGGCAGATATTTTGTTTACTCGTTATTTTTACTTATGCTGCTAAGCTCAACTTTTCGTAGAACTTTTATATCATCTGAATATTATCTCAAATCAGATTATTCATTTGACCAATATCACCTTCTCTTTTTGTTCTTTACTTGTGAAATAGAACGCATTTTCAAAGTCTAAATACAGTCTTTATTTTTTGTTGACTGTTTTAGTATTTTTCGAAAGTTCTATTATGCAGAAGAACTGCAAACCTCTTAATCGATATTTATTATCGATTTATTTTTGGTCATTCTATGGTTATCGTGGAAGATTCGAATGGCAAGAATCGATAAAGTATTGAATCATATTAAAAATTTGTTAATCTTAAATAAACTTTTGATCTACAGTTTTGATAAATGGTAATATATCTCCAGATATAACGTGTTAGCGTCTTAGAGCTACCGTAGTGAACGACAAGAATCCCTAAAATGTATTTGAGTCTTGGTTTCCTATAATTTATTGATGGTCAAGCTTCCAACTGCTGAATGTATGTTTTCCTCTAGGATTCGTCTGTGCTTAGCATACTTTATTTATATTCTCTATGTAAGAAGGCCTTATGATTGATTAGTTCAACTTATTTGTTTCCTTGTTACATTGGAGAGGAAACTGACAAGTACACTGGTAATAAATGTTATTTTTGTTGTCGAACCCTGATTCTTCGATATTGCTCGCCATTAATGTGTGAACTAGAATTGTCATCAATTTGTTTGAGAACAAAAACAACGGGTTACATTCCTCAAAATATTTCATTGTACTATTTTCAAAATGCAAAGTAACAAAAAATACTTTCAAAAAATTTAAATTTATTTCATTAAATTATAATGAGTACACATTTAAAACATATTTAGTGTATATTATCTAAGAGCTTCATTGTTCCAGTGTCGTTTTGTTTGTATTTAAAGAATTCAATAGCATTATAAACTGGTTTTATAAATCATAAATGATTTTTTCTCAAATTTGAAGTCTAAAAAATATTGTGAATCATGTGTAACGCAACTAAAAATGAGAGTAAGTACAAAGAGATACATTGTAACAGAGAATCGACAATAAAAGTTGTATCAATAACACAAATTTAAATCTAAATAAAACTGATCAAAAGCTATTTAAAAAAATGTAGATTTGGTCTACAATGCATTTTTCAAATAATAAATCAAATATCTTGTCAAGCCTAATAGATGTTAGTAGAGTTATTCACTTTTTCCTAAATGAATCGTTGTACAGAGTGGTTTTAGTCAAAAATATTGACTTAGGTCTGATTGTACACATACACTTCGTTACAAACGTTTTGAAACTATTATAGAACTAAATTGTATTGTCAAGTTGTAGAAACCTTCAACAATAATTGAATAAAATTGAATAAAATACGAAATTAAAGTAGCCGTTCTCCTTCAAAACTAGTAAACAAACACTATCGAACTGGCAAATCAGTGTTATCAGACTAGTGAATTTCTTAATTGCTTAACTGAAATCTAGCCTAGTCTGGTCGTACAGTAAAAATTTGATGAGGACTTCATTTTTCATTTGAGATAATCTATATGTTCAGTGCGAATAAGACAATAATAAAACCCACTATCAGATGCCATGTCGTATTAGTTAAATCACTGAGTGTCAAGGTAAATACTGAGATTATTTTTACATTGTGTTATTTTGTTACCGCTTTGAAAAACGTTTTCACAAGCATCAATCACAGGTGATTTCTTTGGTGAGATAGTTTGGAAAAAAATTTGTCAGATAGTGATAACTGCATTTTTCAATGAGTATAACTAATTTTCAATAGTGTAAACTGAAGTGCTGATATATTATGAGAAACGTCTTTCTGAAAGTTTATCCGGAGCTTACTACTTCCATTTATTCCTTTGTTTGAATCTTATAACAATCATAAGTTTAATCCGTTTGAAATCCAGACAGAGTGAAAAAAAGTGGTTATCTTTAGTTCAGTACTACTTACTGTGTACTTTCGGTAGTATATCGTAGAACAAGGATTTTAGTTTCTCAGGATTATTCAACTACACAACTTGATATCAGGTAAGTATTATCGAATAAAGAAACAGATACACCAGACTGTTTTATAATCATTAGAATCATTTTATGCATATTTCAAATTTATTAAACCAAAACGGAAGTTATAAATAATGACGATTGCAGATTGATTGAGTAGTTCAGTGTAATCAATTTTGCTGCAAGACCTAGAAGATATGCACGCAATCTTATACAGAATTCATAATGTTAAAGTGTTTAGGAATATGAGCCAAAAATTTACACAGAAAATATTTATTTGGTGTGCTATGATTTTCAAAATCCAAGCATAAAAAGCTTCAATCAAAATAGAGTTTATTATTAATATTAGGAATACGCCATTAGTGACTATTCTCAGGAATGTTTAAATTTGACACAATTTAGTATGACGTAACGCATCAGTTGGTTGACTATGTTATTTTATAAAACAAAGTTTCCAAACCAATCGAGTCCTTTTGGATTAGTTAAACAATGAACAACGGGTTTATTTTTGCAAAAATTGTTTACAAATGCTGTAAGGTCTATTGCATATAAAGTTATAAGTGGTTATTTAGTGTATGAATATTATTTATAATGAAATTTAAGAGATAAAGTTTTGAAAAGTCTAAGTAGACTTAGCATATACATCATTTCAGTGTGACTTCATCAGTGTGTTGCCTCTTGGTGATAAAGTTTCTTTTTAATATCAATGATTCAATAAAACCAATTCATACTTCTATATCTGGTTTTTAAATGAATAATAAATCTCTATCAATCACAAAATTGAAGTATTAAAAGTACGTATGTTAGTTAGAAATATCTCATGAAACGCTAGCACGCTATCAGTGTGAACAATTATCATTGAAAAGTTATTTGGAATTTAAGCGTTTTACTTCAAATATGAGACTGTAATCTAGTAGGATCGACACTACAGTAAATTAGCACGTCTTATGTTTGTACAATAAATACATTTCATAACTTTATACAAAAATAAACTTCCTTTCATGTAAAGAGAAAAATAGTAATCATACAACTTTGTAGATTTTCTTTTGTGTAATATTTTACAAGTATGTACTAAAATTCTTCAGATTTCTGAAATATTTATACAATAGAAAATTTCATACTTGACTAATAATAATTTTTATCAGACAAACCTGTTATATTCATCACCTATAATACAATGCCATGCTGGTCCATATTTTCTATCCAATGTTCTTTTAATATGTGCTGTAGTATCTAAGCTTCGTTGATTTAAACTCCAAAATTTTAAACATATCGCGATTATTTCATCTTGCATTGATTGACTCATATCTGTATGACAAACATGTGCTTTTGTTTCAAATTGTTCTGATAAATCGGAACTTGTTTCCATTATAATAATAATAATAATTTGAAAAGAGTCGATTTTTTTTTCTCTCAAAATGTAACCACGACTGATTTTACAGTAAAACAATCAGATTAGTTTATGTATGAATGTAAATGTACTATAGTTTATTTATGATATCTAATTTATATATTGAGTTATAGTTGAATTGTAAAATATGAAAATGTTTTTTTTTATTGATAAAATTCTACTTTTAAATCATTCATGCATAGTAAGCTAGCTTTTCTGCAATACTGTTGATATAAGCGGTTAATGTTACCAATTATATAAGTAAATGAACATTAGAATGATTATCGATTTAATGTAATAAATCTTTTATTTTTTCATGATTACATTTTGATTAAATTTCAATTAAATCAGAAATAAACTGGAATGAATACATTTCTCGATAATAGTAATGATAATAGATAATAGTGAATTTTATCATAAAAATATTTATATACAGTATAATGTTTGTTTATATGAATTAAAATGAACTTTTCATCATTGCTGAGTAACAACTTATCTTACAATGATGTCAGATAGATGTTGTTCATCATTAAAGAAATAGCAAAGTATATCGTTACTACTTAATAATAATTAATCATTTATATAAGACTCTAATAATTTTCTTACTGAATTCAATATTAATTGTTCTAGAATGTTTGTTGCATTCAAATGTTAATAAAGTTTTATGAAGGTCGTTTACACCATTGAAAATACATCTAAGAAAAGCATTTAATTACTTAGTTCAGTTTTAAGTATTGCATAAAGTTTATTTTGTTCTCTCACAACAATTTACAGTTCCAGCACAAGCATTTCCAAGATCAGATGTACATAGTTCTAACAGTTACGTTTGACTCTAGGTATGCTTAAACTATTACGAGTTCACCTTAGTTGAATAAAGAAAACAAACAATATATCAGCGTCCAGGTAGGCTACTGCGATCCCTTGACCAAACTGAATCAACAAGAAGTCTTGATATAGTGTAGAAATTGTATTCTACCAACACCCAGCCAGCACACAATCAATCCAAGCACTCAGATTGCGTTTAATTATAGTTTATATAGACGTCCTTGGGACAGTCACAAAAATAGCACACTAAAACGACACAGTAACCAATCACAGCCAAGGATTTTCTTGGTGGGAAATGTGATCTGAAGGTCAAATGGTCGGTCCATGAAATAAGTCCAAAATAAAGATATTTATCAAGCGCGTTCTGGGGATCTGACATCCCCAACACTAACCGTCTAAAAGCCTAGCTTTTTCGTCGATTTTTAGAGTAATGCATTTAAAATAAATAAATAATGGTAGTATAATAAATTTTGGACAATATGAACTATTCTTTTTTACAAGTTTTAGATTGGTCCCTCAATCTTTTATAACATAAACTTGTATTTTTAGTTGTTAAATGAACCAACGTTTTCCCTTCTCACTCATACATACAAGCCTAAATACTAAGAATAAATAGGTTTGTAGCTGTATTTAGCAATGTTTATTTATTGCCTGCTTTTATTAGATTAAACCACTCCATAAATTGAATATTCATATTATAATCACTATAAACACCTTTTAAAGCATATACGTATTCTCAGTAATTTTCCGTCACGTTCGACAAGTGCAACTAATCAAATGACAACCCATTGTATTTAATCATTCTAGTTCTTAAAATATTAACTTTATGGTATAGAAAAAAGCTTCATTTCTCCTAGAACTGCATTAACACTTGGTTATATTGGAGATTCTGTCATGAAAAATACCAAATATCATTTAGCTTGATGTACATTGTTGTTGTTGTTGTTGTTGTTGTTAGTGTTACCTCTTGGTTTTTCTTATGCTTTACTTAAATCATATTGATTTTCTCCTTCTCACCTATCACAAAAACGCTGTCAGTAATTTTAGCATTTTCGAATTCCTGCATACTATCTGCCACTTAATTCCGTTCTCGCTAGTTATTTTGATGAATTTTTAAATAAAATTATGTAAAATATCAAAGGCTAATAGTAGGATAAAAATGGGGATTCATTTAGTTTCGACTGTGAGTATGACAGTAGATAAAAATCCAATATCTCGAGTACAAACAGCAATCGTTGTTCTATTAATTTCAAACCACTCACTTTGTTTAAATTTTTCCCTTCTTTATATCATTTCATAAAATGATATATTTTTATGCTCAAAATCAAGTAAGAAAGCATTACATTTCTGTTTAGAGAACATAAGTTAGTTTGTGAAAAAGTGGCATATGCGAATTTACCAAAATTCCTTCTAAATATACATGTGTTTTTTATGGCTGTAAAGATTCTTTCTTAATTCTATTGAATTTTGAGCAGCTTTTTTGAGTTACTTTGCATATACATATCCTTTTCAAAAAGGTAAATAAAGGATAGATGGAAATAGTCTGAACGTTTTATGCTGAACATTACATGACGATTTAAACATAGATTTAGGATAAACAAACAATTGATATGTGGTAAAATGATCATCGCATTCATCTTTAACTAACCCGGTTTAAACTACCTATAGTTTTCGTCAGTAAATTAAATGTTTTCCAATAGTACTACTAATTAGTAGGACAATGTGTTGTTATAAATTTTTTGTTCAAAATGTATAGTGATTCAAATGATTTCGTACGTAAATCATATTTAATTGATAAGGAAACCGTTTATTATTATGTGCAGTTATGTTATCATTATGAATCATGATTCATCAACCTAGCCCGTCATCTCAAAATCGATCAAGAAACCCAGACTCGTCCATTGCAAAACATTTAATGATGAGTGGACATCAAATTGACCCAAAATCAGCCTTTAAAGTTGTGACATGTCATCAAAACCCACACACACTGAAACTACTTGAAGCTATCTTGACTGGTCGGAAAAGTCCAACTTTATGTGTTCAAAAACAACTGTATGTTGACCTTTGTTTACCATGGTTCTGGTGAGTGAATGTCATGCTAAATAAGAAATTTTGACCTTATCTTCAAAACTGTATTTACACAAATAACATGTTGCTTGTATGTGACTGACGAGAAAGCACGATATGGTACTATCTCACAAAATATGTCTTCTCATTTCTCTGTTCAAATTTATCAAAGGGAACAACTGTTTTGAAAGAAATTATGCCAGTTAAAATTTTATTCCTTGAAAATATTCCCGTCTTTAAAACTATTATCGATCCATATTAAATCATTAATAACTAATCATAATTGCTATCATGACCCAATAGATATAATTTACACAGAGACTACGTAGATCTATTGAAAACATACTGTAGATTAGAACCATGATAAAATGAATAATGATGAATCGCGTTTTTGCATTTGTAGTCGGATAATTTCAGTCATTTCTAAAGCTAACCACTCTTTTATAATATTTCATAAACGTTGTCATGTTATTGGGAAAATCTGGGTAAAACTGGAGGCACCAGGTCACTGTAGTTTCGAAATACAGTTTTCTGCACACATTTCCTAGATATATTTAAGCTTGTGTGTGATTATTTCTGATCGAATGCATATAACAGCCTAAGAATTTATTTATTTTTCCATTTAAATGTTGGTTGCGTAATCACTGAATAAATTATTTTCATATATACATATATTTACTGATTAACTTTTATTCATTCAACTCTCTTCCTTTTTTACCATCCAAATGATTTGAGTTGTTTGTGAAAGCAATGTTTTTTATTCAGTTCATTTCACCTTCTGAGAACGGCTGTCTAGTCAGTCGGTATACAAAACATAGGAATATCTGCAAAGCTATATTTATAGCAATACTACATATAATTTAACTGTTAGAAGTTATATTCACTAATTCCTATTAGTTTTATTTAAAAAGAATGTAGAAAATCTAAAGTTACCCAGTTGATTAATTTTAGTTTCAAATAATTAGATAATGTTATGTTATGCTTACATCATGAAACATTTCTTAATCGTCTCATAATTCATCAATTAGTAAGCTTCTACAGTTGATTGATGATGAAAAAGTTATCACTGAACCTCTTCTTATTCCCATAATCCATGAATATTTGAATCGGTTATTTATCAGACAACGTATGGAGTCTCTATGCTACAGTACGAAGCATTTTAAAAACACTTAGTTGGTGTGTTGAAGATACATGATTTATTCACAAAATAATACTCGTGCTTTTCAAGTTCACACTACATTTTGTCATTTCTGTAATATATATATTAGTTACTCAATGTATTTTTAGAAATAGACATTCCTGTTCAACTAGCCAAGCCAGTCAGTAATTTTCTAACTTGTGTCTGAAACTTGCCAGACAACAAGGCATGCCAAATAAGTTAGCCTACTTTGAACTGAGTCATCCCGTAAGTGACAGGCATTGAGAAAAACTGTACATAATTAATTGTCAGCAATCAGGAAATGGCGACATGCATAAGGAAACGTTTTAGATTCACTGACAGCTTATAATGAGGAGGACATAACAGCACAAAAATATAGTTATCTAATAATTTTTATGATTATAATAATCTGGTAAACATTTCCAATGTTCCTTCCTTTATAACAGCTACTATCAACAACAGCTACTACCTTAAAAAATAGCCGTGAGCTAATTCAGTCTGACATTTTCCTTATAATGTATCAGGTACTTTCCACTATGGTTTGAAATTAGTCACGATTAATCAATACGTAACTCATTCCTCACAAATTTAATCCATGACACTATTGATGCAGAACTAAAATTAATATTACCCGTATGTGTCATTGTTTTACAGTCTTCAGAATACACTCAGGAGAAGATTACTGATGAGGCGTAAATCATTGTCTCTCATCTTTTGTATATGCACCGGCTTATATTCTCATATGATAATGGTAAATATTTTAATTAGTATTTTGGAATAAAAATTGAATGATATTACTTCCTTCTGTTTTGGCTAACATCACTCCATACACGGCGTCCAGTCGTGAAATATGCAGCGAGTTTTAGTATTTCGATAGTTCATCTTAGTGATATTCTCCAGTGAATTCGTCTCGATTAAAGAGTTCTATAAAATGGTTCTTATTCTTTATTTATTATTAAATATCCATGAACGCTTGGTAAAATTTCCCTGTTTTCAATAGTTATTTGCTACTGTTCAAATTTAATCTTTAATGGCAGACTATATTTGTGTGTCAACATTATCTGAAGTAAAATTTTATGAATATAATTTCAGAAAACTGTGTGATGACTTTTTGTTTATCAACTAATTATCTTCTGTCAATTATATACTTCTGTTCAATGATTATAGATGTACTCTAAAATGGAAACACATTTTCAGAATAAAACAAAGTGATTTACATACTGTTAATTAATAATCATGTCATAATATCTACTCACTGAAATATATCAGACCTAAAGAATAAATTTAAATTATTCGATCACTGAATGCAAAATTATTGTATTTATAGTTGGTAAACTCATCACATCTGTACCTATGAAGGTAAATGTTTTATTTACCAACACTTGCTAACAAACAACGTGATCAGTTCTTGAACAACTATCTGAGTAAAAGATATGTGGAAGTACAATTTATTTTCTTCAAGTATTCTTCACAGCGTAGTGAGTGCTTTTATGTCTAGCCCACAAAACTCGTCCCAGCTTTTGGACAAATTAATTTGCCCACTAGTCTTTTGACCTTGTCAGTCATTCTCTCATATCTTCGTTGCTTTCGTTCGTATGTATGTTCCCTCCTGACCTTGCATATTACATGTCTGGATTACTTTGTCTCACTAAATATGCTTAGTCGTAATTCATCGAACTGAGTTGACTCACTCGCCTTCTCCATTTCTCTTTGCTTGTATGGTTTTCATTATCGTATGTTTGCATGGACGATTGTCTGAAATAAACTCATTCAACCGAATTCGTATTCGGCTTGTTTATTACCGCCATCGCACAAACGGGTTTCGTCTAAACGTACTATACAGAAACTGATTAGAAGATTTATTTTATAGCATACTCGATCATTCATAAATATCGGAGCCAGACTTTGGGCTTAAAAAAGTTAGGTGTATGTACATTTACTAGTTATATTTGGAAAAACATGTTGTTTTCCAAGCGATAAAAATAAGCATTAATACCAAATAGATTTCGCGTACATTTAGTCTATGATTATGATTATTGCCATCAAAAGAATGATTCAATAATTTAAATAAGTGATCAGAAAAAACGACTAATTTAAACAAAAAAGTAATATATTTGTTTGATATTATCTTATATTAACCAGTTTTCACTTTTATACCTAATTGATATAATGTTACAAATGAAATCAAATATGAATCGACGGATTAATTTGAAATATTAGTTAGAACTGTCTTCATTTGTTCCTTTGTAAATCATCCTTTCATCCTGATTTAAACAGAAGGAATGCTCGATCGTCCAAATAGAAATATATAAAATTATGTGTCTCATGTGTCACATAGCTTTATGATAAAAATATGGTAAATAAAGGATAAAAAAGATAGGAAAACATTTATTCATGAACAGAAGATTTTTAAAAGTTATCAATAATATTACCTAAGGCTGATGCCTCTTTCTAATTTAGCTGTAAGCGAGTAATTATTATTATAGTGAATTAACTGTTCACTTAAGGCACTTATATTTGCCAACATTTTTCACTCACTTAAACTTTTATAAATCAAGAAAATTATTATGAATATCTTAGTTTGACCGATGATTTCTTTTCATGAAAATTATAGTTTGGGGTTCAATACAATAAATAAAGCCCTATGATTTGAACTACTAAATTACGATAGTTTCTACAAATGAACGATGTGAATAAAAAGTGTCCTTAAAATATTCCTACAGTAGTCACTTAAGAGTTGTACATTGTAATTTTTTAACTAAGTAATATAATATTTATTAATTATTAAAAAAATAATTTATTCATATTCAACTTACCTTCCAAAATGTCGTCCAACAATACAATGCCATGTAGCACTATATTTACGATCGAATTCTTTCTTTATATTCGCTGCAATATCTTTCTCTAAATCATGTTTGTCAACTGCACCTGCAGCTATATGTACTGCATCCTCTTGCATTTCAGTGCTCATATCAGCATTTTTAATCACAGCTTTACGTTCAGTCATTTTATGATAATCACTAGTTGAATTAAGATTGAACTGTTCTAATTGAAAATGAATTATTCTATTTTATAGCTTTTAATTTGTTTTGACTAGTGTTATTATTCACAATTTCTTTTTTTTTTCTAATCAACTATTTAGTAGCTTGGCTTCAATGTGAATTAACAGTTCTTTAAATGAAATGCATTGTATGTATATTTATCGATATGCATAAATTCACAAACTTGATTAGTTTATGGTTAAATATTTTTTTTTCAATTTAGGATGATGATGATGATGATGATAAGATTGATTATTGAAATTAATCAAAATTGTACATCTACGTATTCATCTAATGAAATAGCGTCAATTAATTAATTGATTAATTGACAAACTTTATTCACTTGTGAACATGTGAGAAATCCATATTGAAATTATTTTAATGCCAAAATAATACTTTTTAACATTAAAATGCATTGCAAAATGTTTATCAAAGTTTTGCATGATCTTCTGACTACATAAAAGCAATAAGCAATTGAGAGAAAAGAAACAGTTAATTCTTTTTAAGATCAAATAATTAATTCACCCTGATAGATTTTGATTAATGTTTCTGAATTGAGTTGATAATCAGTGAAAAAAAAAATTGGGAATTAGGTATATTATTGAAATTTCAGTGAATATGCATTAGTCACAATTTTATATGTGACATTTATATGTACTACTCGTTTCTTACTATAAGAATCATTTATTGATGATCGATTTGAAATGCAAATCATTTTTTGAGAAAAACTTATTACTCACCTTTTGTAAATAGTGTTTATAGACTTAAATATTGTTTTATACTTCAACAAACGATTATTTGATTTAAAAAATATTCAATATTCAATGTTAGAAAACTAATCAGTTATTGTATAACAATCAATGTTGTTAGTTTATTGCATATATATACATATAAATATTAATGAGACTGAAATTTCTATGTTCCCTAGAATCAAAGTTCTTATTACTACCTTCATAAAACTATATGAATAAAATCACATTCAAAACATATAAATTGTAGATTAAAAACATTCTATATTTCACATTTTGTAATGTTTAACGTAATTGTTTTCAGAAACTTAAATATATCTATTCATTCATGCTGTGAAAATCATGAGTTTTTATGTAAGTAAACCGAACTACTTTTTTTAAAAATCTATTTACCGCTATTATCATGTAACAATACTATTGATTGTAAATGTTTATGATGAGGAATGTTAAACTGGTTACGCCTAAGTTAAAATAACAGTGTATCTCTTAATAAACGGATACCTTTTTTTCTGGTAATTAAGGAATCTTGTAAGTTTTGTAACACTTCTAAAAGTATATTTATGAATAACTAAAGAAACTTTTATACAAATTTAACTACATGGAAAATAAATTCTTATTATTTGGCGGGTTCAGATTTCAATGATCCTGAAATATCTTCCAGAAATTTCAAATATTTAGAATCTTGATGACCCAGCCATAAACCGAAAAGTCAAGATGTGCGCCACATGTAAAGAACTTCATCTAAGAAGACGAACTAGACATCAGGAGTGTTTTCCTGAAAATGAGCTACCACTAAAGACCGTTTGGTATAGTGACTCAGTCAGTCAGAGTAAAGAGCCTTCCGAAAGATTTTATAACTCCTTTGTTTGAGATTTCCTGTGAACGTGACCACTACTATTGTCAAGAAACGACGAGTATACTAATCTTGTTAGATCATCAGTTTACGGTTAGACAGAATTGCTATATTACGTCCCACTACCTCACATATTGGACATCCAGGTTAAAATGTTCGTTGACTAGTGTCGTCTGACAGCAATTTGGTTAGGTTTTAGATACCCGGGCATTATCATAGCTTTTCTATATAATGTGGAAAATAAACAATGCACGTAACTTATGCTGGCTAAAATAATTTTACTACTGACAAAGTTAATGACATCACCTCAGTTATTTGTGTCACATTATTTCCGCGTGATTCGTACTTGTTTTTCAAATTTCAAGTGTCTAACGCAAAAGCTTACTGCCAGTTATTTATGATTACTAACTGGATTTGTTAACTAGAATAGGAGACTTAGTCACTACAGTATGAAATTGGATGCGAACTCATCACATTCTCGTTATCTTAGCTTTAACCATAATCTAATACAGGCCGAAAAAAAATCTGGGTGAACTTTAACTGACAACCTTTGTACATTGCCAATAATCGCACTGCACAAAAGCTAAAAAGCGAGAACAATTCTTAATACTCACATTTCTCCGCTGAATCAAAAGCAGTACGTGAGTCTGATAACAAACAGAAGAAGTCCCTATATATTCCAGTCACCAGTAACAATCAACGTGTTGCATTGCAACAGTTTATAAGTTTAGCTGAACAGGGCTTCATAAATTTCAAGATATCTAAACAGCAAAGTGGTTGACATGCAGTTCAAATGTGACTACTGAACGAATGTTCTGTAGTTTTTAGAGAGTCGTTTATCATCGGTAAATCTGTTCGTTATACATTATTTTTAAACATTATTTTTTAACACCGAACTCTCTTCAAATTTTGGTGATACAACTTGCACAACTTTCTTACTTAACTAATCTTAGGTATGAAATCGTAAACGTTTAACGTTACAATGTTACACCATTGTTTTGAATTATTTATGTAAACGTGGACTAACTATATTTAACTTTCCGCAACTGATCTTGTAGTGATAGACCAACATTTGAAGCACCGTGTAATGTAGGTGTAAAGAATAGATAGATAGATGGTGGTTTGCTTGAATGCTATTTGCATCGAATGTCCTCTCCGCCTATGTACAAACTAACCTAGATCAAAATCTCAAGAACCCAATACTTCTTCACCTCTAGTCGATTCAGACTAAAGTAAAAAGGAACGATTTATCAGACAGTTACAACTCAATCTTAAAAGACAATCAACTGGAAGATAATAAAAACATGGGAAGATAATGAATTGCAAATATATGTTTCATTTGACAGTTGCAGTTTATCATTTAAGAAGCCTAATTTCAGTTGATGATGTTATCAGAAATAATAATGAAACATTCAAAAGTACATATTCCAAAGAACACAACACTGTTTATCCATCTGAGTTGAAAAACAGTAATCAGTTGATTACTTAGTCATTAATTGCTTATTTATTAACTGAAATACCATCAAATGTTATACGTGACTTACTATGAAAAAAAAATATTTACACTGTAGTTGATTACGCGGCACATCAATTGTCAATTACTGAAGCATTGTACATGCGCCTATATTGATTGGCTTTTGTCATTCACTGAATGAAAGTAAAGAGTATTGTGATTGTTGTTTCTATGTGATTCGCTCATTTGACTAGTTTACAGGACAAGTAAATTTTTTTTATGGTAATCTATCCAAATTTAAATGTAAGCAAAATGGAATTCCTGCGATTAAATCTTTTACTCATCAAGCATTACAGAAAATGATTCGTGTATTCAATGAAACTACGATACACGCCTATTACATTAAATAAAAATAATAATAATTTAACTAATAAATCCATATAGTAGACTTTAAATACCAAGTCAGCAGATAAAACATTGTATTTATTCGTTTCTGGATGACTAACACGTCGAACAAAAATCAGATTCCTCAATATCATGACAAATTATAACTTCTAAATAAGGTATAATTATTATGACTTAATGACACAATGTTTGAAGCTAAATACTTAGGCCTGTTATCCTTATTGCAAAAAATACCACCGATTATGATTCATTCTGTTGATATCTGCCTTCAACTGCAGAATCACTTTGTTATTTAGTCTTCCTTTTTTTCATTTCGCCTTCAAGATTTCAGATTGAAGCTAGCCTTGTGATGTAGTCTGGAGAATTCCAAAATGTGTGTAGCGTCTACTTCCATTATCTTTCCATATATTATATTTCAACTGGAAGGATTTTTGTTCTCTTCCATAGTGATTTACTGATGGTAGTTATGACCAACAGATGTAAGGTATCTTGATCAGACTAATTTTTATAAATATATATACCTTACTCTTGTTGGAAGTGGTATTTTTTCAAGTGTTTGCTCCCTTCAATAGAACTGTCATGTCATTTGTATGACATATCCTGATTTTAGTGTTTGCTGACAGTTGTTTTGAGTTCCAGATGTTTTCAATCATAGAAAAACTACCCATGCTTTAAAAATTTTCACAAGTGCAACATATCCACCTTGTTCATCATGGATTTTATCCATGTACGTACAAGTTTCTACAACTTTCAGAGCTTCTACTTTAAGTGTGATTCGGTGCTCGTAGTGATGTATTTAGGGGTCTTACTTCTCCCAGCGTCTATGCTGACGCTCAATGCTGCATAGGTTGCAGCTACAACAGGCATCATCACTCGTATCTGTTACTCTCTATGGGTTAGATTAGATAGGTTATCGATGAACTGTTTAGATGCATCTAATCTGTTCATTGCATTCCTTGTTTTCCCTAAGATGTTGAGGTATTCATATCACACTTAGAAAAAAAGAGAAGGAATGAGAGTAGACATCACAGGGTGTGGTCCCTTGTATGAATTACATATGATACTGACTAATATCTCAGGTACACTATAGTTTCGATGAAGGCGTCATGTATTTATTTTTTCTATCTAATTAAATATCTTCTCTGGGTCAAGGAAGACAATGTATATAGCTAAATTCCATCTAATTGATTGATTAACGATGATCCGAAGTCTCGCGATTTTGTTGTTACATGACTGGTATTTACAAGTCCAGCTTGCATATCTCGACTTTGGACGTCCACTAAAGCTTTCACTCGGTTCAAAAACAGTGATGAAACTTTTTATGGTACTGAAATTTATGTGATTTCTCCATGGTCCGCATACTTATAAACTTCTCATTTCATTGGTGATTAACTGAGGACTTCATTGCTTGAATCTTATTCAGGAGACCTATTTTTTTGAAAGTGCTTGCTGTGGTCTAGAATTTACTGCTTGATTGTCAAAGCTGCGTTCTGTTTTAATGCTAGATTTTTTAAGGCTTGAAATTTGTTTCTAGGAGCTGTACTGAATTCGTTGAGTTTGTTCGCATTTCTAAGGAAGTCTGTATGGAAATTTTGTAACGCTGTTTGTTCATTTGTCAAGTGCTTCTTTAGCCTCGTTTTCATCTTGATCACCACCAAGTATTAGTTTGAAGCTATATTGGTTCCTCTC